CTCAGAGTGGATCAACCAGTTTGCTGCTGACAACCAAAACCAGCTGATCACATGCTCAAGAAGGACCATCAGCCTAACAATGGATCATTAGCACACTGATGGCTGTTTACTGTTCACAGAGGGCTGAGTGATACTAGCAATCACATCATTGTAAGAGGGGGACAGTTGAACCCGGAGGCCTCCACCCCTGTTTAATGATGGACGATTTCTTTTCACAAAGATGGCCTCCTTTACTCCTCTCTCAAACCATCGTTCCTCTCTGTCCAGGATGTGAACATCTTCATCCCTGAAAGAGTGACCGCTGGCCTGGAGATGAGTGTAGACCGCAGAATCCTGGCCTGATGATGTTGATCTTCTGTGCTGGGCCATCCTTTTGGCCAGTGGCTGTTTAGTTTCCCTGATGTAAGACTGATCACAGCCCTCCTGACACTGAACAGCATACACAATATTACTCTGTTTGTGCCGGGGGACTGGATCTTTGGGATGAACCAGTCTTTGCCGTAATGTATTTTGCGGTTTAAAAGCCACTGGAACGTTATGTTTAGAAAATAAACTCTCAGTTTCTCTGATACTCCCTCAACATACGGAATGACCACTGGTCTGGGTCTGGGTTCCTCCTTTTCACCTGATGGCTGACTGGAGTCCTGTTTGGGTTTCTTCTCTTTCAGGAAGGCCCAGTTAGGATATCCACATTGCTCTAGAGCCTGTTTTGTGTAGGATTTCTCCTTCTGCCTGGCTCCTGAACTAGTGGGAACGCTGTCTGCTCTGTGATACAGAGTCCTGATGACTCCTAGAACAACATATGCTCCCATCTAGACGTCATCTCTTTCAGGGAAGACCCTGCATTTTTCAACACGATAATGCCAGACCACATTCTGCAGCAATCACATCATGGCTACGTAGGAGAAGGATCCGGGTACTGAAATGGCCAGCCTGCAGTCCAGATCTTTCACCTATAGAGAACATTTGGCGCATCATGAAGAGGAAGTTACTACAAAGAAGGCCCAAGATGATTGAACAGTTAGAGGCCTGTTTTAGACATGAATGGGAGAGCATTCCTATTTTTAAACTTGAGAAACTGGTCTCCTCTGTCCCCAGTCGTCTGAGTGTTGTAAGAAGGGGGATGCTACACAGTGGTAAAAATGGACTTGTCCCAACTTTTTTGGGATTTGTTGATGCCATGAAATTTTGAAAGATTTTTCCTTTAAAACGATACATTCTCTCAGTTTAAACTTTTGATCTGTGATTTGTGTTCTATTCTGAATAAAATATTAGATGTTGGCACCTCCACATTGTATTCAGTTTTTATTCACAATTTGTGTACCAACTTTTTTGGAATCCGGTTTGTAAGTATATAATCTCCAGTGGTAGGCAGTTAACAACTAAGTTTTGCTAACCCATCTTCTATCTAAAAAATAATAGCTTTGCTAATACTAAACTGCTAAATGTGTTAAATATATATTGCGGAAGCTATCGCTAAGACAACAGTCACTTAGTCTCCTTCCAGTTGAAGCTGCACCAATCACATCTTGTCATGTGTACACGTAAGCCAGTAGTGTGCCTAACACTCTTTGAAACAACCTGGAGAATTTCCTTAAGTACCCCCTGGATTGCATGAGAAACTTTAGAGCATTTGAACCCAGATTAGATATGAACGTACACTGCCTGGCCAAACAAAGTCGCCACCAAAAAAAGGTCTCTCACTAATATTCTCTTGGACCACCTTTAGCTTTAATTACAACATGCATTCACTGTAGCATTGTTTCGATAAGCTTCTGTAATGTCACATCTATTTTCATCCAGTGTTGCATTAATGTTTCACCAAGGTCTTGCATTGATGACTAGGCTCTAGGCATGATAGGTGCATCACTTAATCTGCCCCTCTTTTTACTCTGATGCACCCATCACACTGGAACAGGGTAATCTGGACTCATCAGACCACATGACCTTCTTCTATTGCTCCAGAGTCCAATCATTATAGTCTATAGCAAACTAAAGCTTTTTTTCCCCCATTAGCCTCACTGATTAGTGGTTTTCTTCAAGCTGCACAGCTGTTCATTCCCAATCCCTTGTGTTCCCTTCACATTGTGTGTGGAAATGCTCTTACTTTCACTATTAAACATAGCCCTGAGTGCTACTGTTGTTGTTTTTTTTTTTTGTTTTTTTTTTTTGGGGGGGGGGGGGGGGTTCTTCGATTTGATTTCACCAAATGTTTAAGTGATCGCCGATCACAATAATTAAGGTTTTTTTTTCCGGCTACATTTCTTCCTCAAAGTCTATGGGTCCTCACTATCCTTTCAGTTTTTAGTAATGAACAGTTCTTAACCAAATTTCTGTAGTTTCTGCAACCTCCTTAGATCAGGGGTCATCAACGCAGTGCCCGTGGGCACCTGGTAGCCCGCAGGGACCACATGAGTTGCCCGCGGGGCATGTTCTAAAAATGGCACTCATCAAGGAGTACCACCTAAAAATTTATTGTATTTTTAATTTAAGAAATAACATTTGCAAGGATGTGTACTTGAAATGAAAATTAATAATTAAAAAAAATAGTTTAGCCTACTTGTCTGGGGTCAAAGTTCAGAATCATGCATAGACCACTCCCATCTCTGCAGCAGTGCAGCTACAAGCTAGTTTTATCTCCAACAGGTTAAAATGGCAGAAACTTAAAAACATTTGTTCAGTGACTGGGAGGAAGAGGTCTTCTCACAGTTGTGAAAGAAGTTTGCCTGTCATTAGTGGGCTGTGGCGACGACAAAACATAGTGACACTTCACCAGCTCGCAGCTAACTACCCCCGATGTCTCACAACAGGCAGAAGGTCAGAGTTAAAGGCAGCTTTGAGCAAATGGCAGACGTTTTTCATGAGCCATTTTCAGATGAGGTCCTGAGAAAAGCAATGATAAAATATGTGAAAAATAATTTCTTTAAAATAGAAAGATGCAATGATTAGTTAATGATTTTATATGTACAGCACTTTGTTGCAGCTGTTTTTAAAGGGCTTTATAAATAAAGTATTATCATTATTATTAAAAATGCTGCAGATCTGAGGACTAACTAATATCACAATCTATTTAAAAATGTCTTTTTTTTTTTTTTTACTGATTTGTATCTACAAATTAGTTCTTCTGAAGTGATATAAACAAAACAGTTAGTTCAAACAGGGCTTGATTGGAAGATTTTATTGCTAATAGGTTCTTTAAAAATGCTACAAAAGTTAATAGTAAAAGGCATATTTTGAATAAATGTTACAAATGTGTTCATTACTACAAAATGGTTAAAATATTTATAAAACACTGGATTTCAAATGTTACCGATTGACATTAACATAAAATAAATTGTAATTTCAGAGTCAGAGATTCTTTATTAATTTGTTTAAATATCATTCTGCTGTAGTAAATATCAGTTTTGTCCCCTTTGTTTGGGACTGGAGCCCATCTCCGCTGCTTTTGAGTGAAGGCAGGGGACACCCAGGACAGGTCTCCAGTCTGTCCCAGAGAAGACAAAGGGACAACCATCCACACTCCCAGTCACAGCTAGGAACAATTTACAGTTGCACAGAAGAACCAAGAAAAGGATTCAAACTGAGGACTCGGTTCTCGATTGAGAGTTCTAATCACCAATTATCAATATTAATTGATCATATTTACCAAGCTAAATCTTTACTGATAATCACTGCAGGGAATTTTTAATAATACAGATCAGATGTGATCAGGCAGTCATATTTACACATGCAAATGTGTTTTTATTAATACTATAATTAAAGGTGCGCCGTGCAAACTTGTTTGGATCAAACAAGTAGCCCTTCGCGTCATTCAGTCCCACTGAAGTAGCTCTCAGTCTCGAAGGTTGGTGGCCCCTGCCTTAGATGTTTCCTCTGCTTGATGCATGACAATGATTTGACCCTTCTCAAACAGACTGACATCTTTTCCACGACCACACGATGTGTCTTTCAGCATGGTTTAAGAAATGAGAAGCAACTCATTGCACCATTTGGGGTTAAACGTGTTGCCAGCTGAAAGTTAATCACCCATGCAGTAATTATCCAATAGGAGGCTCGTACCGATTTACTCAGTTAAATACAGGTGGTGACTTTTTGTTTGTTTCAGGCAGTGTAGCTCTGTTAGAAATGCTTAAATTGGTTTGAGACTCGGTTTATATTTCATATTGTATATCTCTCCCTGACCACACATCCCACTTTCTGTTCTACTGCAGCTAGCTCATCAACTTTATCCAGCAGACCTTCTAATTCTTTCATGGTGACATTTTTTATTTATTTTTTCTGGTCAATGTTCAGTAAATCTCCATGTCCTGAAGGTGCTATTCTTCAGAGGATCACTCATGTCAGGGTTAGCCAAGTCTTATATTTGAGTGCATAATTTTCCTGATGAGAATGATTTAAATTTAATTAAATTCTCAAGAATGTACATATTTTTTAAACCTCTTTTTTATTTGCAAAACTAGAACTTCATTTAATATTTAGATAACTAAGGTTTTAAAGCCATTTTTGGAGGAAATCAGCTTGGTTTATTTTGTTCCTAGGCTTTATTAGAACGAACTGAATAAAAATTGTTTTTCTATGCGCTAATAAATGAAGAGCTCACTTATTGCAGCTTACAGTTAGAGAATAATAAATATGGAAAAATCTGGTCTTCACCTTCAAAACAAAAGGCGAGCAACCTTCATTTACAATCCTTGGCAGATGAAGTCTGCCGACAATAAGCAATCAGACATTTGATTCAGGAAAAGGCAGCAATGCACAATTACAACTGGCAATCAGCACAGAGCATCTGATTGTCTAACATCTGAACCTTTCCAACTACCAAGCAAGTGCTTCATCATCTGATTGGATAATTTAGGGTGAAGAGGCTTAGATCAAGACACCCCCACCCCTCTTCCTGATGGTTCACATTCATATCATTATGCTGCTAACAGAATGATCTTACAGGCACTGGAGACTTTACTGACGAGGTGTGTGTGTGTGTGTGGTGTTTTTATGAGTTGTGAAGTCTGTTCAGATAACTATTATTATTTTTATTTTTTTTTTTGGTGAAAGTGAAATTATAGCTCTTTCAACAGAACTCAACCTTGTTTATTTACCATTAGTGTAACATTAAACTGGTTCTGTATACTCTGTTTCAAACCCATTTTTAATTTCAACGATGTTTAATTGTCTGCTTCATTCAGCAGATGTCTCAGCCCTGCTGAGTGTTTGGAGCAGAGGCCTTGCACCAAGACTGGAATCCTGTCAGGTTGGTTTTTAGAAAATGATGGTGACTTAATGCTTTTTTTTTTTTTTTTTCTGGTGTAATCACCCGCCTTGTCAGGACCAGTGGTTATTATGGGGATCAAAGCCTGGTTCTAATGCAGTGGAACATAATTTTTGGGTTAGGTGTTAGGATTAGTGTTTAGGTTAGGCTCGTACTGGTTAGGGTTAAGATCTGAATTGGCTATTAAAAATCAATAGGAATCAATAAAATGCCCTGATGATGATGATGATGATAATGGCAGAAATTTAAATTTGTGTGTTTAAGTTAAAAAATGATCCTGAATGTAACTAATGAAATGAAAACAAGATATTATGAAAGGAACTTTTGAGTAAATCGTCACAGACAGCACTGTGATATGCACACTTTGTAATTTCTCATATTTTCATTTCACTTTTATTAACACAAATAGCCCAGGAGGGGAAAAAACAAAATTTCTCCTATTAAAATCAAATGTGTACCAATGCTGCCCCCTTGTGGTGAGAGTCCAGTTCGGTTTCAGGGAAGCTTCATACATTTTCTCTGCCCCAGAACTGAATTAATTTGAGGCTTTTTCAACATTGACATTTTTTGTAGAGAACACTGATAATAAGATGGAAGACTGTGAATTTAAGATCACAGCTGAGGAACTATAGATAAAACAATTCTGTTTGCAAATAAAAGTAACATTTAGACCATCTAGCCACAAAGGCGTGCGCGTGCGTGAAAATATAATTAAAAGTAGTTTTTGTTTGTTTTTTCTAACTGTTAAATTAGTTGGATATATATATATTTAAATGTTCCCCTGGAGAACTGGTCATACAGTTAAAGGACAATAAAAGGGTTAAGAGAGCTCCCTTTGTATTTATCTCTACAAACCCACCTCATGGTTCTTCCATGGTTTGGTACATCCAGAACCACCTCTGCAGCTCCTCCTCCCTCAGTACAGACTGTTGTTCCTGAGTGACACAGAATCAGCAGAACCTCATTTATTCCTCACGGTACACGTGTGTGAAGTGGTGGTCTGTTGGAGCAGAACAAATGTTTACTAATTGTCCTGAACACGATGGTTTAAGGTGGACCAACATGAGATTTTCTATAGCCGAGACCAATTTTTAGAAATCATGGCAGGGGATTTTATTTTGGTTGGTCGTTTTTGTTTAAAACAATATAAAAATAATTTCTTAACCTAATAATAAACACTTAATTACTTCAGGAATCTGTATTTTAAATTTATAGCATTCTCACCTGGAAAAAAGTACATTTATACTTAAATTATTTGGTAGCGTATGTGACTTTATGAAAGTGTGTAATATAATAATAACTTTTGTCTTCTGAAGAGCCTTTGTCAAATGCAGTGATTCTCTGATGGACTTGTTCAAACGGCTGCAGTTCAGTTTTGTTAACAGTTTGTAGACGTGCAGCTCACAGATGAGACGTTTAATAAATGAAGATTAAACCCTGAGAATGGAGACGTTTCTTTAAACCAGAGTTAAAACTCGTGGACTTGCTCAATATTTAGACTTTAAGTTAAGAGACACACGTTTCCTTTATTTTACTGCACCATCCTGAACAATTAATGAAGAACACTGAGCACAAAAACCTTAACGTCATTTTCATTTTTTTCAGGGGTCATCACCTTCAGAAGAAAAGGACTCAGTCATACGAATTGTATATGTTGAAATTTAAATTTTATTTTTATTTTTATTTTTCGTGCATAACTGAATTCCAATTTAGGTTAAGACTTGTTTAGAAATTTATTAACTTGTATAAACTACCTTTTGAACAAGGTGTGTTATGCTCACAAGTTCTCAATGTAAATAAAATGATTTAAAAACAATGATTTGTTGTTTGCATTATTGCTACTCTTAAAGTAAAACAAAATCAGTGCCTGAAACTAGTTGTGATCAAGTTTTGATGATTTGCTTAAAGTTTGGCAACGTGTCCAAACGTTTTGCTTTAAGGTGAAAACCGTTTCGACAAACTGAACACATTAAGATGAAACTGAATCCTCTGCAAGAATTATCTTTGTCAAACACCACAGGAATGAGTTTAAATACTTGAACTGTATCCATATTGACATTATATGGTTTTATTGTCAAATCGATCGGAGTGGTGCAGAGGTTGGAGAAGGTGGGCCTGTGATCGGAAGGTTGCCCTTTCGACCTCCCTGGATCGACGGCAAAGCGTTGGTTGGGAAAGGTGAAGCACCCACACCTGCCTCCACCCTCATTAACCCCTCCCTGGACCCTTGAGCAAGGCCCTGCTCCCCCCCCAGACACCCTAGATGGAAACTGTCTGCTCCACACAGAGGGCTGTGGCTCGGTGGTGAGTGTTTGTGTCAGGAAGGACATCTGCCTTAAAAACAGTTGCCAGGTCTTTGTGCAAGTTAAAGTTGTGACCCCTGAAGAAGAGAGCAGCCAAAAGATGATGATCGTCATAAATCAATCTTGGTCAGAATAAATTGACCATAACAAATAAAAACCTAATCAATGTCAAAGTAAAACAAAAAAAATTGCAGTGGTTTAAATGGATAAATCTTATAAATCTTCCTCTGGGTCTCCTCCCTGTGGGACGTGTCCGGAACACCTCACCAGGGAGGCGTCCAGGAGGCATCCTAACCAAGTGGAGGAGTTCAAGTATCTCGGGGTCTTGTTCACGGAGGGAAAAATGGAGCGTGAGCTCGATAGGCGGATAGGTGCAGCGTCTGCAGTGAAGTGGGCGCTGTACCAGTCTTATGGTGAAGAGAGCTGAGGCAAAAGGTGAAGCTCTCAATTTACCGATCGATCTACGTTCTTACACTCTGGTCACGAGCTTTGGGTTGTGACCGAAAGAACAAGATTTCAGATACAAGTGGCCGAAATGAGTTTTCTCCGCAGGGTGTCTGGGCTCTCCCTTAGAGACAGGGTGAGAAGCTCGATCATCCGGGAGGGACTCAGAGGAGAGCCGCTGCTTCTCCACGTCGAGAGGAGCCAGTTGAGGTGGCTCAGGCATCTGGGGCAGGACCTCCTCCCCGACCCGGAGAGGCACTCCACCCTTTTCCGGCTCAAGACCATCGCCTCCTATAGACCCTTGTCAAAAAATTAGAATATCATGGAAAAGTTGTTTAACTTTGAATGGAATTATGGAAGTTGATCTTCAATAGATGATAAATTCAGGGTCCATAATTTAAACGGTGTCAAGTATTTGTTTATTTTTTACATAATTTGGGCTTCTGGCTCATGAAACCTACGAAAACAGGATTTCAAAACAGAATACTGTGGAGAAGAAAAAAACACATTTCTGAAACAGAATTATTATGAAACAGGTTCAAGGGCAGCTAAACATATACGCAAACACTTAATACAATATATAAAATTAGAAACCTCCACACAGGTGAATTAACAGAAAATCCAGAGAAAATAGAGGACATTTTTCAAGAGTATTATGAGAAATTGTATACACAACCTGAAATTGCACTTGAAGAAATGAGAACCTTTTTAAGCGCATTAGATTTACCAACATTAAAAACATTAAAAAAATAATAAATCGCCAGGCAGTGATGGATACCTGGCAGAGTGGTATAAGATGTTTAGAGAAGAGTTGACGCCAGTACTCTCAGCTTCTTTCAATTGGACACTCTAACAATAAAATACCTCCATCATGGAGTGAAGCCATAATCTCAGTTATCCCAAAACAAGGAAAAGATGAGGAACACTGGCAATTATAGACCAATTTCATTATTAAATATAGATTATAAGATATACACAACCATTATTTCTAATAGATTAAATACCTTTGTAAAAGAATTTATAGAAGAAGACCAAACAGGTTTTATGAGGACGTCAAACACATGATATTAGAAGAGTACTACATATAGTAGATCAAGCGCAGCAGAAAAAACAAAGTACCATACTAGTAAGTGTTGACGCAGAAAAAGCATTTGATTTAGTAAATTGGGAATTTCTTTATAAAGCGTTACAACGATTTGGATTCAGTAATAAATCAGTACAATGTATAAAGACATTATATCATCACCCCACAGTGAGAATCAAAATAAATGGAAGCCTGACTAATAAATTCAACATACATAGATCAACCAGACGGAGGTGCTGTCTATCACCTACACTGTTTGCCCTCTTTATAGAGTCTCTGGCACAGGCAATACGACAAGACGATCAAATTAAGGAAATTATAGTAAATGGAGAGGAACACAAAATAGGCCTTTTTGCAGACGATGTAACTTTTCTTGAACAACCAAATGAATCGCTACCAGTGCTGATGAATCTCTTGGGAAAGTATGGTTATCTTTCGGGATATAAAATTAATATAACAAACACACAAATTCTAACACTCAATTACATACCAACGAAAGAAATTCAGGAATCATTTCCCATCAAATGGAATATGAAGGAAATTAAATACTTAGGGATTATCATTACTAAAGGATTATCAACACTGTACAAAGCAAATTATGACAAAATAAGCCAAGAAATACAAAAATATATAGATAGATGGAGTACCTTGTCCTTGAATCTGAACTCAAGAATTTAAATACTTAAAATGAACGTGCAAGCAAAACTTATATATTTGTTTCAGTCATTACCAATAGAGGTCCCTCAAACTCAATTTGCGATCTGGGACAAGATAATATCAAGATTCATTTGGGGTGGCAAAAAACCTAGAGTTAAATATGAAACTCTTCAGCTACCGAAAGATAAAGGGGGTATGGGTCTCCCAAAATTAAGGGAGTACTTTTGTGCAGCTCAGCTCAGACGTGTTATATGCTGGTGCACACCAGACTACATAGCTAAGTGGAAAGATATGGAGAAAGAGTTCGGAGGATACCCAGTTCAAAGTGTTATTGGGGATGACGATAGATATGAGAAGATCAAGAAATACATGGATCCAATTACAGTGTTTACACTGGAATTATGGTTCAAAACATTCAATAAAACACAAGATAAAGAAAGAAAGGAAAGTGCTCAGATGGGTAGCATCTGATAGCAATTTCAAACCAGCAATGTATGATAAAAGGTTCAAACAATGGATAAGCAAGGGGGTCACAGGATGGTATACCCTTCAGAAAGAGGGGGAGCTGGAGAGTTTTCAAAAAATGAAGGACAAGTATAATTTAGATAAACGCAAATTTTACAGGTACCTGAAATCAAGTGGGATCCCTCTGTGGAAATGAATGGTGTGATCGAAATTGTGATAAAATCATTCAGTGGAACGAAAATTAAAATCATTTCTACTCTATACCAAAAACTGTCGATGAATAAACATTCAACTAAGTATGTAAAAGAAAAGTGGGAATCAGAACTTAACATGACAATTACAGATGAAGATTGGTCAGACATGTGGAAAACACATCTGACATCCACCAATTCATGGATATGGAGGGAGTTCACATGGAAAAATCTAATAAGATTTTTCATCACGCCTAAAGTCAAGAATAGATATAAGAATACAAACACAGGGTGTTGGCGGAACTGTAGATCAATGAACGCTGATCACTCTCACATATTTTGGAACTGTCCTAAAATTGTTTAATTTTGGAAAAATGTACATGAAACTGTGAAGAAGGTTTTGGGATATGATATTCCTATGAGTAGCATGGTACTATATCGGACATGTGACTGAACCTCAACCGAGCTGATTATGAATAACACCTCTTATCTGGACAATGGCTGAGGGGTGGGGGGGCTCTGGACTACGACCTTCCCTTAAAATTCAATGCCTTCACCGGCCTATATGTACATGTATCACGTCTTTTTATGTGCTATGCTGTGGTAGGGGTTTTTTTATGCCTCAAATCATGCCCTGTCTAGGACAAGGTGTGAGAGATCTTTTTTTTTTAATACCGTCTCTCGTTTTTTTTTCCCTTTTCTCATCTAAGCAAAATATTATTCTGAATAAGACGGCCACTCTAATTAGCAGCAGCTTTGTGCAGTACGTCCATCTTTCAGACGACTGTACGTACATGTTCTCGTATTTCGGTGCATTGATAATAAAGCTTATTCTGATTCTGATTAATTAAACAACATCTCGTGTCTTTAGCTCCTACCGTGAAAACTAGTCTCACAGATTTGGCTGTCATCTTTGACAGTTCCCTGTCTTTTGACGAGCATTGTAAAATTCTTGTTCTGAACTGTTTTTATCATTTAAGGAACATCTCCAAGTTGAGACCTTTTGTGTCACAGACTGAGCTAGAGATGGTTATTCATGCTTTTATTTTCTCCCGCTTAGACTATTGTAATAGTCTTTTTATTTGTTTTAATAAAACCTCCCTGTCCCGCCTTCTGTCTGTACAGAATGCTGCAGCAAGGCTGCTGACAAAAACTGACAGAAGAGCACATATAACTCCTGTTCTTGCCTTCCTGCACTGGCTTCCTATGCACTGGAGGATTAACTGTCAAATTTTGGTTTTAACTTTCAAGGCTACCCATGACCAGGCTCCTAAATACATTCTTGACCTTTTGGATAATTTAACTCCATCTAGGACTCTGAGGTCTTCGAGTCAAATGTTATTGTCTGTACCCCGAACGCATTTTACAACCCGTGGAGACCGCACTTTTTGGGCGGTGGCTCCGAGGCTCTGGAACACCCTCTCTCTGTCCCTACGCTGCACAGACTCTTTTAAGAAACGTCTAAAGATATTTTTATTCAGACAGGCTTT